CACAGAGCCAAGATAGCGCTAGTGAATGCGAACTCCGTGAACAGCAATAGCATAGCATGGTAGCGTGCGTCTGCTAATATAAATAGAAGTTTTAGAATGTTGAAGTTTTTTGTATTTTTTAATAAATGTTTTGTTATTTTAATTAAATTTTTTTCAATCAAATTTTAATCAGTTTTATTTATACATTTTATGTATATTTTATGTATGTTTATTTTGAATTTGCATCTTGAATAATATATCAGTTACTTTTCATGTTGGTGATATATTAAAAATTTAGATAATTATTAAAATATAAACATATTGGAATGTCTTTTTTGGAACTTGGTCAGACCTTATCATTTATGAATTTTTGTGCTATATACATATCTCCATTGCCTATACTCTTACATTTGTAATAGCGCTTATCATGGTCGTACGAAATCAGCTTCTGTTCAAGAATTCTTGGAAACATTCATAAATAAATATAAAAAGTTACAAAATGATGGATTTGTATATTTGAATCGCAAATATTCAGTGTCACTTACAATTAGTCGCGTGGAGCGAAATTTGGGAAAGCATTTTCGCTGTCAACGCTTGGCAGAAGAAATCGTGCGAGTCTCAAAACCGGTTTGATGCTGGGCTTGATGGAAAGGAGATACAAAACATAGGTCCGTTTACTTCTACCAGCCGACAGCCGAGCACACACAAACACGTGACGTCAGCGGGTCTCGGTTGTGTGCGTATGGAGCTGTCCGGGGAAAAAACTGGCAGCTCTGATTTCAGTATATATAGAGTTTACTAGTTGAGAATTTTAATGTGCCAAATAATCAAAAGTTACACAACGGTCCACGAAGAGTGGTTGTGTTTCAAAATTTGAAAAGAAAAAAAAATTTTTTTAATGAAAATAACTTAGAAAATGAGAAAGATTGAATATATGAAATGCTTATCATAATCATGAACTTTATCAGTATGCAAACATTGTGTACAAAGTACAAAAGTCATATTCGAATGACTATTTAACATTATCTCGTGATTGAAGAAAGATTTACAGATTTATCCAGTTTCATTTCCATCATGTCCAGCAAGCAAGCAAATATTCTGCATGGAAAAGGAGAATATCCAGAACTTGATTTATCAGTGGGACAATTATTGTTACAACAACTGACTACACATGGCACTAATGTGGCACAAGTAAATTTAAAATTTTATTTATTCTAATTCTTTAACGTTAATCTAACCTAAACATAATATTAACATAATGTAACATTTTTAAGCAAATGTACAGTCCAAAAGAAGTTAATATTATTATCTTAGATGTATTAATTTTGTACACACACACACACACACATACACACATACACATACACACACATACACACACACACACATACACATATATATAATATTATATAATATTTTATTATAACAATGACAAATATCTTTTAACAGATAAATGCTCATACTGACAAGGAACAAACGTTTGAATTTATTTTAAATACCAGTCGTAAATTGGCAATTTATCTTCAAAGAAAAGGGTTAAAATCAAATGATGCTATAGCTATATGTAGTGAGAATAATCTGGAATTTTGTATTCCAACATGTGCTGCATTTTACCTTGGAGCTACTGTCTGTCCGTTAAATCCAGTATATACTCAAAGAGAATTGAAACATGCACTTATCATTTCAAAACCAAAATATATTTTTATTTCTATAGTAATACTTCATCACATGATAAATATATTGAAAGAACTGTATTGGTCACCAAAAGTGTTGATTTTAACTGAATGTGATAATATTAATATAGTATGGACAAATATGTACCAAGCAATATCAAGTGTCTCTGATGATGACATGAATATGTTTCAAGCTATTCCTGTCGATGTAAAAAATCATGTAGCAGTAATATTATGCTCTAGTGGAACCACAGGTCTACCAAAAGGTGTTATGTTGACAGACAAGAATATCACTGCAGTCTTTTGTATAATGATGATAAGTGCTTCAGTGCCTGAAACATCTATATTTCTGGCAGTGCTTCCATTTTTCCATTCTTATTCCTTCTTTTTTATGCTGGGTAGGCTGCTAAAAGGAAACAAATCTATCGTGTTTTCACGCTTTGATGAAGAATTATTTTTACAATGTATAGAAAGATATAAAATTGAATATTTAGCAGTGGTACCATCACTTATGGTATTCTTGGCTAAGCATCCACTTGTGAACAAATATGATTTATCTTGTATTAAAACAATATTGTGAGTACAATTATAAATCAAAATATTTAAAATTTTTTGTGATAGAAAGCTACTGCAATTTAAAAAGTTAAAATTTATGAAATATGTCAATGTAAATTGAATGCAGCTGGAACTATTTTTTATCTTTCTTTCCAATTTTATTTTTAACATTTATCTTTGTCTCAAAAGATGAGACAAAGATTTTAAAAGATGAAAAAGATTTTAAAGTTTGAAATAAGAAAGTAGTAAATATTATTATTAATTATTATGTAAGTAATGTCATTCAATTCTTTGCATTGCATTTTGCATTGCCATAAGTTATATGAATTTAATAAATAAAATTTATATAAAAGACATTTTCATAAAATGCAATGAATTTAAATAGAATGCAATATTAATTTATATCAATCAAAATCAATTTGCAATTTACTATTAGAAGCATAAAACAATTGGAAAATATGTGAAAAATGTATATTACCAGAAATTGATTTATTTTCTAATAAATTATAGTGTTACTAATTGTAAGATATATATTTAATTAGGTGTGGAGCAGCTCCATTGCCCAAAAAGATTCAAAAAGCTGTTGCAAAACGATTAAATATTTCTGATATTAAACAAGGTTATGGATTAACAGAAACTACTTTAGGTGTATTACGATCCGGAGATGAAGCAAAACTTGGTAGTGTTGGTGTATTAGTTCCAGGCATGTCAGGTAATAATTTTTTCATTACTTACTTAACTGTTTAAAGCACAAAATGAAATAATATACTATATTAATCATCGTGCAATATAGATTCGCGAATACTTTCGAATTATAACTTTATAGATAAACACATATTAATATTTTGTAAAAATTAAAATCAACTATTGTATTAATTATTCAATTTTATATAAAAAATTTATTTTATAACTATGCATGAAATGTGCACTCAAAGTAACAATTAAAGGGTCAAAACCAATTGCTTTAAAAAGAGGCAATTTTTGAAGTATTGTAATTTCATTTAAAAACTCATTGAAATTTAATGTAAAAAAGGCATTTTAAAGTTTAAAACTTTTTCTTTCAAATATCTTTCGCAGATTTTAATTATCTTTTTTTTTAATAAAATAGTACAATAATACAACAATAAATCTTTATTCGTTCAAATAAACATTTTTAATACGATTTTACAATATTACATCAAGTTTGGAAAAAATTGCTGTTTATTTCTGTTTATTTCTGTTTATTTCTGTTAATTTGTCTTGTTGCGGGATCTTTTTCCTTTAATTTGAGTTGTTGATCACTATAGGATTTTTTAAATCAAGTTATCAAAGATTGAAGAAAAAATTGTCATTTTAACTTTGATCGCTTATTACTTGTGACGAAATTATTTGTGCAGCACTCCGCAAAAAAAACTGGTTAAAAATGAAAAGTTGAAAAGTTAAACGTTAGCTAAAAGTAGTAATTTTTTCGAATGCCGTTCATGTTTTTCCTTTAGCCCTATTCTTTCTAACACAAAAATGGAGTTAAAAAAGCGTAAAAAACCGCACATTATTTTTTTTTTAATACGATATACTCGATATATCACGAAAAAGTCCAAAATCATTAAAGCAAAGTTTTTTAATTTAATACTATTTTAATGACAAATAAAAATTATTTATCAACTAAAAATTTTTTTTTATAAAACTTTTTTATATAAATATCCATTGTACTTAAATGAGCCTAAGTTGAAAAATTAGGGATTAATTTTGCTCTATCACAGTGAATGAATAAGAAACGTCTAAAAACAATTTTTATCATTTTTTCACCATCATGAGAGTTATTGCGCAACTTTGTGAAGGAAAAAATCTTATAATGGTGAAAAATTATAAATACATACAATGAAAAGGTTTACATAATAACTACTAAATATAATATAATAGAAAAGCATCAAGAGCCATCGGAGGAAGTTAGTGCGAAAATTGTTATTTTTTTATTTGCGCCCTGATATTTTTCCTTTCGTTTCTTCCTTTCCTTTTAATAATTTCGGCTAGATTTCCCTATGTCATCCAGGCCTGATTTTGGTGAAACTTTACAGGCATGTAGTACTTACTAAATGTAATCGAAATCCAAAGTGCTAGTATGCGAAAACGCCTAGTTTTCGAGAAATTCAAATTTTAAGTTTCCGGCTGGATTAACGATTTTTAAGATTTTAATATGAAAAAATGATTAGATTTCAAAAATATTGTGCTAAATTGTTTCATTTTATTAGTATTTTACTAGATTATATGTATTAATGTGTCAAAATATCATTATCAACAAAAAAATACAAGATATTAAAAGGATCATTTTTTTACGTCTTAAGATAAACTGGCAGATATAGGCGAAATTCACTGCCAGTACTGAAAATCTACAATATACGTAACGTAAACTATAGATTTCTAGTACTAGCAGTAAATTTCGTAATGCAGCCATAATAGATCCATGATGTAACTCTTAGGGCCACTGCACAAGCTTCTCCATAACGCATTATATTACGTTAAGTACTGATCATAAACCTAAACCCGTACATAAACTTGAACTTCAGTCAACGCACAAACAAAAACGAAACGTAGTAAAAGCGTCACGCGTTACAATTTTCTTTAAAATTTCGATATCTTACTTTTTAACCTTATGAAGGATTAAATTTAGGAGCTATTTCTAACATGGGGACGCGTGCGCGCGCTCCTGAGACTCCTAGCTTTAATCCTTCATAACATGGCTAAAAAGTAAGATATCGAAATAAAAAAAATAGTATTTTATAGGTGATGAACAATACATTCATGATTTCTGATCAGAATTTCAAGATAACGTTAACCTTTCTTACAAAAAATATCAAATATCGCAAAAAACCCCATTTTTTACATATTAAACCTCAATTATTTTGGAAACCTGACGTGCTGATGAAATTTGGTTTGCGGAATTGTTTTCAGCATCCAAAAATCTATAAGATACACCTTGTTTGGTTCAAAATAATTTTTGGCTGTAAACTAGTGTTATCAATGTAAGAAGGCGAAAAATTTAAGCATTATGTCACTTACATTTAAACCTTGCGTAGGTCTATACTAATCTTTACAAATTCATTTTTAGTATATAAAAAACATAGTTTACATTAGATTTGATTATATTTAATTAGTTTTTAGCTGTTAATATTGTTCAAACGTTGATTATGTCTTATAAAATTATAAGAAAATAAATTTTTTAAATTTTGTATTTTTTTTTGCTGTTAATGACATTTTGACAAATTGGTACTTACAACCGAGTAAAATACTAATAAAATGAAACATTTTAACAAAATATTTTTGAAATCTAACCATTTTTTCATATTAAAATTTTAAAAATCGTTAATCCAGCCAGACACTTTAAATTTGAATTTCTCAAAAACTAGACGTTTTCGCATACTAGCACTTTGGTTTTCGATTACATTTAGTAAGTATTACATGCCTGTAAAGTTTCATCAAAATCGGGCCAGGGTGACATACGAAAGTCTTACCATAATTGCCTCTTCGTACATTATGATTTTCCAAAATATGAAAACAATGTACTCGATTCTTCGTACACTTTATGTATCTCAATCTGAGATTGGTGTACAACTCAACTGTCTCTAATGTGGACGAATTAATTTCTATAAGAAAAATAAAAATTTTTGCACTAACTTTCTGCGACGGCTCTTGATGCTCTTCTATTATATTATATTTAATAAAAATTATAAAAATTATTTTTCGGCATTTTTTCATTACCAATAATTAAATTAATAATTTTATTTTATCGCACGTTATTATAAATAATAAATAATATGCATATGTTTTGTTTATTCAAATGTTTATATTTTTTTCACTTTATTGTATAATTTCCTATCTATATAGAATTAATACATTTTTCCACTGATATAATTTGACGATAAATTTTATGACAGTGTAAATAGCCAAATGTTAGCAATGTTAGTAAATTGACAATAAATTTGATCAAATTTTGTTAGGATGTTACACAAGATATTTTTTTAGCAAAAGTAATACCGCTCGGAAAATTTGAGACGGATGAAACTTTGGGGCCAAATTGCGAAGGGGAGCTATGCTTTAAGGGCGATTTAATAATGAAAGGTTATTGTAACGATGAAAAATCCACAAGAGCGACGATTGATAAGAACGGTTGGTTGCACACGGGAGATGTAGGATACTATGATGAGGAAGAACATTTTTATATTGTCGATCGGATAAAAGAGCTTATCAAATATAAAGGCTACCAGGTACCACCAGCTGAGCTCGAAGCAATTTTATTGTCTCATCCAGGCGTAAAAGATGCGGCCGTAATTGGAATTACAAATGAAGAAGCTGGAGAGTTACCAATGGCCTTCGTTGTGAAGCAGGATAATTCAAATATATGCGAGAAGGATATAATCCAATATGTTAATGGCAAGAATAATATTTTTTATCCATTATATCTAATAATACAATTAATCTGATGCTTTATTAACAATTCTTAACTTAATATTTTAAAATAATTTAAATTAAATTTTATGCAAAATATAAAAATATAAATTTTGCAAAATTTTAACAGAATGCGTCATTTGAGAACTGATCATCGATGTTAATAACTATGTATTATATATATTGTTTCAAGAAAGTTATTTTCCACTTGTAGAATTAATATCGCGTGTGCGTGCGTGTATATATCCTACGTGTATTTTATATATTTTTACATATATTTTATATAATTAGATTTCTTCATTTTTGTTATAGAACGTGTATCAAACCAAAAACAACTCAGGGGCGGAGTAAGATTTATCGATAGCATTCCAAAAACTCTATCTGGTAAAATACTACGTCGAGTATTGCGTGAAACATTAAAATCAAAGCTATAAGCTTGCTATAGTAACGTTAATGTAAGTTTTACAATATAAATTATTTTTATGGAAATTTTCAAAATAGAACAGTATTTATTTTTATAATAATTAAATACAACAGGTAAAAATTTAATTGTATGTATTGAAAATACATTGGGTTGTGTAACAAGGCATTTCGGATTTTTCAAATAAAATTGTATTTTTTTACCAAGCAAAGTACAGTTTGACTAATACATAAATTAGATATTTAATTGTCAAAGTTGTAATCAAATTTTACATATATATATGCCTAAAAAATCGTGATACGCGCAAAATTTGATTACAACTTTGACAATTAAATATCTAATTTACGTGTTAGTCAAACTGTGCTTTGCTTATAAGGAAACAAACCCAAGTGTCCCTCTCCGATTTTGACTTTAAATATGTTGTAAAGTAGCTCAAAATAAGCGACACGTATTTTTTTTATCTACTTTCTCGCACGTTTAGGATTGAAACAACCCCTACAAGCTAAAACGGTTTTTTTGGTTTTGACTGAATATTGTCAAAACTGTAAGAGATATCAGCAAATGTTTCCAATAAAAGTTACGTGGTCTTTTATGAGCTTTATAACCGCGTAGCTGGATTTAAAAAAAATTTTATATTTTTTAATTTATCCCCACCTCTTATTATTTTTACGAATTTCAAAATTTTTGTCATGACAAAAGTTGTAGCATTTTTTACGCTTAATACAACCATATATGATTTTATTATGTTTCGAAATCGTATTTTTCAAAAATAAACCGTCAATATCGCACTATATGCATCGCGCTGCATGACGTATCGTTCATGCCGCGCTTGTTCATGTTGCGCAATAATATTTTTTATGATATATATATATATATATATATATATATATTATATTATACTATTTAAGACATAATAATAAACAAATATAATAAAAAATTAACATTTGTAAGCGTACTTTAAGTAATCACGCGATACGTACGATGCACCACCGATGGGTACGGCACGTACATCCACGGCCGACACTATTATCAAATAGCAATGGCGATACTGGTAATTACGTAAACGTCCACTCGAAGATATTTATCAAGGATCTGTCAAAATCAAAAGGCAGGTATAGAGGTGTAAACACAATAACAATATAACGATATTTATTAATATTGATAACACCTGTGTACATACAGCGTGTGTCAAAAGTTCCGGGACGGCTGAATAATTTAAAAAATACGCATCACAGAGGAAAATGACCTCGACAAAAGTTGTAAAATTTTTCTCGGGCAATCCGATGGTGACCTTAGATTTGGCCTTGCTCGTGACCTTCAAGGTCAAATCAAATTTTTAAAATAGAAATTCCTATTTTTGATTATAAAATCTAATAGCTGGTATCAAGAGTTGGTATCATAGTTGCTTTCAAGAAAAAAATATGTAATTTGCAACATGCAACTGCATACTTTTTTTTTAAACTAATGTGTTTTCTTTATACCAATTGATTCGTCTCATTATTTTGTGCATAAAAGTATTAAGGTAAGATTTCCGAAAATGGAATGTTTTACAAGATATTTTGTATTTTATGTCAAAATGCTGTAACTTTCAAGCCTCATAACTCGAAAAGTACTTAATGAAAAATAACTTCATTATAGTGTTTTGAAAAGCTCTTGACACCAGCTATTAGATTTTGGAATCAAAAATAGGGATTTCTATTTAAAAAATTCGATTTGACTTTAAGATGACCTTGAAGGTCACGGGCAAGGCCAAATCTAAGGTCACCATCGGATTGCCCGAGAAAAATCCTACAACTTTTGTCGAGGTCATTTTCTTCTGTGATGCGTATTTTTCAAATTATCCAGCCGTCCCGGAACTTTTGACACACGCTGTATAACGGGGTAATGATTACCGAAAACACGACGGACATGTTGTCACAAGGACTACTCAGACGGCAATGTTTTATACGCTATCACGATTTTTTTTTCTGGGCGATCCGGCGAAAAGGGTTAAAGGTCAGACCGCGTAGTCGTCCCGATAGAAAAGCGTGCGAAGGATGGAGGGACGCGAGACGGCTCTTTTACCGCCGCTTCTGCCGAATTACTCGCGAACAAGTTGGGCGCCAGACGCCGAAGCGTCGAGTCTGTATCCGACAGACTTTTTAATCACTAACCCGAAGATCGCAAATTCGCCAAAACTTCAAAATCGGCAGCGATGGGCTCGACGAGCTCAACCTAACGGTAGAGAGGCAGGGCGGAGAGCTGGTTATGCAAACAGATGACCAGGGTGGTAGCTAAGACGAATACGACAGACAAAATAAAGAGATAATATCGCGAACTAACGTAAAATAAAAGTTTATTCAATTTTAACAAAAAGAAATAATAGCGGACTTCATAACCACAAAAAAAAAAACAATGATAAGGAATAAAAAAAATGTTACTGAAAATATCGCGATTACCGAAAAGATTGATAACATAATGTAATCGAGTAACGCAGAGAAATAATAATACAGCAGACGCAAAATAAAGAAAATAGACTTGTCGGATAATAACGCCGGAAAGAAAGAAAGGAAATATACACTGAATCCGAGCTGTTTGAAATACAAAATAAAAGAAAATAACCGTAATTAGTCAGCTAACTAAATCCGTAAGGATTCGCTAAGGCCAGAGGCCTTACGCCAAAATTATTCGCACCAAACGCGAACACGCGAATCTGAATAATATTGTCCGATTAAACTTAATTCTAACGCGAGCGAGACGGACAGCACAACACGTATCGCGATTACACTCACTCTCTCTGCTCGCACTCTCGCTCAACATACATTCTAACAAGCAACATTCAATATCGCAAATCTCCGACTATATCGCAAAATTTTTCTTGCAGACGTGAAGATTATCGCCCCACGCACTCACGCGCAACACATACGACGTACAGCTAATCGCGTTTGCAACGATCTCCCCGATATTTAACACGTGCTCCGATTAACCTACGAAGGCGCGACCACAAATTCGCCCGATTTCAATCGCTCGGCTAACGCTAAAAAGAGAAATCGCTAAATAATCACATGCCACGTCGGGCACCAAAAGTCGGCTCACGAACTTCTACCCGTGTAGTGGCCTGAGGTCCGGAAGGGATTCACCAAAATACGCTAATACTAAGGCCGGAACAAACGACCTCGCGACGAACCGAATTACGCTACAAATTTGTGGTGTGTAAAGGCTTGAGCAACCTCACCAATATTACCCGGTACCGATGCGCTCTCTCTCTCTCCTCCCGCAGCGGGTAAGCCGGAACAGTACACTCGGGACTGAGAAAACCTCTGTGACACGTGCTTTCAGGTCAATGGCCGGAACGCAACAGACCGGGCAGTGGATCGCGATCGATCGCGCCGATGCCGCGATGCGCGGTTATCTATCGCGCACGCGGCTCTTTCCGCGCGACCAATTAACGCGCGTCTTTACGCGGCGCGATCCTTGCCGCAGCACCTAGGCGCAAAACGCTAGGGCGCTGCTCTGCGAGGATTCTTCCGCTGTCGCCTGTCGATCTTCCTTCCAACGGTGAGTCAGTCGACTCTCGAGCGGACGACCATCTACGGGGTGCGCCTTGTCGTGTGCGGTCTTTCCCAGACGGCCAGGATGGTCGAACTTATCCTTCCGACCTTTGCCCTGCAGCCCTGGTTGTCGCAGTCTTTTGCGACGCCGCTGCTCTTTGGCTGCATCGCCTCTTGCTCCGCCTCCGTCCGGAGTCCTCGATCTGCCGTGTTTATGTTAGCCTTCGGTCTTGATAGCGCCGAATTCCTCTGCTCGCCGATCTTCCGTTGATGTCGCCAGATTGCTCGGAATAATGCAACATAACGTGAATTAAAATAATGTTAAGATTCAATAATCTCGATTTTATCGGGAAGATCTCGCTCGTCTGCAACGCGCGGAGAGTCGATGTTGCGTTCCGCCCGCGAATTCTACCGCGAAGAAACGGCAACGTTACAACGCATACTGTGACACGCTCAAGGATCGCCTATTCAGCTAATCCTGATTGGCCCTAATCAAAGATATTCCTACGCCTAGGACGCTAAACGCAGCGCATTAGATAACTCGCGCGTGGTCGCGAGGACCGCGGGAAGGGATCGCAGTGTCGCACAATCGGCGGCCGCGTTGTTTTTGTTTTTGTACCGCGTTGCTTACACATTAAATCAATCTATTCATGTACTTTTTTTTTTTTTTTTTTT